CACTGCCGTTCGCGGTTGTTACCGCTTCCTCGCGTATAACAACCGCGAGTGGAAACGAGCGGACACGCTGAACCGCATGGACTTCCAGAGTCAAGCCCGCTGAACCAAGGCGACGAACAGCATCGCTTGCGCCAAAGAAGCTCGCGGCGAAGCCGCCTTCATCCAGAACAACCGCGAGCGGAAGCGAGCCGGACCAGAGGTGTTCCAACCGTCTACTCCGCCCCGGCCCTCGCAGCGTCACCCGCCGAGTACACCGGAACCTCGCCAAGAAAATCAGCTGATTCCTTCGCGATATGCAGCCTCCCGTCATCCAGCAGCACAACGCTGTGTCTTGCGGTCGTGCTCTCGGGGTCCAGCGTGAGGTAAAACCCCGAGCGAACATCGGTCGATTCGCAGCACAGTGCGTTCCTCGCTTTCGAAACGCTCCTGTAGAAGTCCCTCACAAACTCGTCCGAGGCTTTGACCGGCGTCCCCCTGATCTCGTCCCAGTCGCCGTCGAATCGCAGGAGGTACAAGCCGGACTCGGAGCGATCGAGACGTTCAACAAACCCCGCTGCGTGCGCACGAAACGTGCGGGATGCGTAGGTACTGACTTCCCACACGTACCACCCCGCGAGCCCTGCAACGATGGCGACGAATCCGAGCAAAATCCGCAGGATCAGTCTGATTCGTTTCGATCTGTGTCTGGTGTCGTCGCCCACGTTGTGTAGATACACCCTTGGTGTGCTGCGGTTGCTCCCGAGCAGGCTCGGGCCAGCAGGGGCCCGCTCACTGCCGTTCGCGGTTGTTCCCTTGCTTTCTCGGAACCCCGCACGCCTTCGAATACACAAACACATCCGCCGCGTCCCGCAACACCGGATCGATCGCACGCACGTCCCACGCCTTCTCGCTCTCCGGGATCAACCCCAGGATCTTCACCCGGCACATCGTCCGGATCCACTCCCCGTTGCGCCGTACGGACTCGTCGTCGCTCCGCGGGTCGTACCGGTTGAGCACCACGCCGACGATCTTCAGCCCCGCCCCGCGCACCGCCTGCACCGTCAGCGCCGTGTGGTTGAGCGTGCCGAGGCGCGCGTCCGCGACGATCACCACGGGCCACCCCAGCGCCTTCATCATGTCCAGGCACGTCACCACGCCCTTCATGGTCCCCCCAGGTTTCTTCTCCATCGGCACCATCACCCCGCCCACGCCCTCCGCCACCACGAAGTCGCACGTCTCGTCGAGCCGCTTGATCGCCAGGTCCACCGGCGTCCAGTCGAGCGCCTCTTTCCCTTCCATTTCCAGCGCCATCGCCGGCGCGACCGCGGGTTTGAAGCGGATGGGCGTCACGAGGTCCAACCCCCCGATCGCGGCATCCAGATCGGCCGCGTGCGCGAGCTGCTCCGCGTCCTCCGCGATCAGTTGCCCCCGCTCCTTGCGGCACCCGCTCGCGACGGGCTTGAGCACGCCCACGCGTTCCCCCGGGCGCGCAAAACGCCGGATCTGATCGGCGATCAGGCAGCTCACGACCGTCTTGCCGATCTCCGTCCCCGTGCCGGTCACGAAGAGGCCTGGCGTCGTCGGGCGAGAAAGTTGGTGCAATTCCATGGACGATGTTTTAGCGTGATGGGATGGCGTTGCCACTCCATGTCGTCCTGCACGAGCCCGAGATCCCGAACAACACGGGCAACATCGGCCGCACGTGCGTCGCGACGGGCGCGAAGCTCCACATCATCAAGCCCATGGCCTTCGACACCTCGGAAAAAGCCCTCCGCCGCGCCGGGCTCGACTACTGGCCCCGCCTGAACCCCACCGAGCACGAATCGTTCGACGACTACATGCGCAACACCGCCGTGCGTCCCGACAAGCTCTGGCTCTTCACCACCAGGGCCCACTGCCCCGTGTGGGAAGCGCCCATCCACCCCGGCCACCACCTCGTCTTCGGCAAGGAAACCAGCGGCCTCCCCGCCGAGATCCTCGACCGCTACCCCCACCGCTGCGTCACGCTGCCGATGGTCGAGGACGAGCGCTCGCTCAACCTCGCGACGGTCGTGTGCGCGGCGCTCTACGAGGGCCTCCGCCAGTGCGCGCAGCGGCATCAATATCTGGTCTGCCCGCGCGGGAAACTGAGGATGTGAGCGGCGCGCGGAAAGACGCACACCCGAACGAGCCCGGGCGTGCGTCGGAAACATGGACGGGTGCGCCCTAATTCAACGGCGGCGTCGCGCTGCGCAGAACATGCCGATGCCCGCGAGGCCCGCGGCGCCGGGCGTCGGGACGGTGACCTCGAAACCCCAGTCGCTGCTCGTATTAAAGAAGGAGTTCCCGCCGTTGTTGGATTGGATGCTGTTGCCGCCCGGGTAGACATCGCCACTGAACCCCGATATTCCCCAGAGCGGCTGGCCGCTGGTTTGGCCGACATCGACGCCGACGACGATCGCGTACCGCGTGCCGGCATCGATCTGCGCGCTCGACGCCGTGAAATCGATGGTGTGGAAGACGGCAGCGCCGCTCGGGACATCGGACGGCTCGACCTCTTCGATCGCGAGCTGCGTGTCCGGGAGCCCGCTCCCGTCGAGCGAGTAGACCTCGACCTGCAGGTTCTTGGCGACACCCGGCGAGTGCGAGATGCGGAGCGTCACGCCCGTCAGAGGCCCGGTCACCTCGGCGGTGAACGTCTGCCCAAAGTGGATGTTGGAGTTGAACTCGTTGATGGTATGCCCGATGCTCCCGCCCAGGAAGTACCCACTCTCGGGCAGGTGTCCCGCGGTGACGATCATGCCGGCGGACGCGGAGCTCGAGAACCCGATCGCCGCGACCGCGGCGACGGCTGACATTTGGAACACGTTTTTCATCGTTTTTCTCCTCTAGGAATGAAACAGAACCTGGCGGCCCGGGATTCCTGTCCGTCGGGGCACCGCACTATCACGACATGCGTGAACCGGCCCCGGATGTCCTATGGAGTTGTTCGATTTTTTTGTGATGACGGCGCAGCGGTGGGCGACCAGCTCAAGTGAAAGCCGTCTGCGCGGCGCTCTATGAGGGACTCCGCCAGTGCGCACAGCGGCACCAATATCTGGTCTGCCCTCGCGGGAAAGTGAGGCTGTAGGGGATTGGCCAGTGGGAATGGGCCAGTGGCCAGTGGGCAATGGCCAATGGGGGTCCGCAATCAAGCCCCACTGGCCACTGGCCATTGCCAACTGCCCAATTCTTCCCCCCCGATAAAACCCCATCCCGCACAATCCTCACACCGATCTGCCAAAAAGCCCGGCATCAGGCGGATCCGCGCTTGTGCCGCTCTGGTATAGAGGTACGGTTCAAAGGATTGAACTTCCGGGGGTGATCCATGGGGGAAAAAGTGGATCACCCATCACATCATCGCGCGGAAGACTGAGGAAGCACGTCGCTCGGCCTCGCTCCGCTGTCGTGTTGTTCGACCTGATCGCGCCTCGCGCGACCGGGTTTATCCCGCTGGCGTCGGCCGGCCGCTGTGTACGCGCGCCGCCCCGCTGGAGTGTTTGAGAGAGTGCATCAGCAAATATAGGAGTGAAGCACATGAACGCGAAGAAAGCCCTCTTTGGTGGCGCCCTGATGGCCGCCGGCATGACCGCCCAGGCCCAGGCCCAGAACCTCATCTATCTCGATTCCGGCGTCGGCGGGGCCTACCCCTCGTTCGCCGTCTCGTTCGCCTACGGCGCCGCCGCGCCCGACACCGCCTACGCCCCCGCCGCGCTCAACACCACGAGCAGCGCCTACAACCCCCTCACCGGCACCACCACCATGACCACCAGCCAGAGCGCCGGCGGCTTCGGCTCCACCGCCGCCTGGGCCGGCGACGGCCTCAACGGCTACGGCTACGGCTACACCCAGATCCAGCAGTTCTTCATGGTCGACGCCGCCGCCCAGCTCCTCATCGAGTGGGACTACACCGGCACCGACGGCTACGCGGCGGCGCTCGTCCTCGAGACCGCCGGCGGCGGCACCACGATCTTCTCCAACACCGGCCAGCTCGGCGATCCCTTCTCCGGCTCCGCCCTCGTGAACGTCGACCCGGGCGTCGAGTACGCCTTCCTGGGCGGCTTCACCGATCCGGGCTCCGGCTTCGGCCCCTTCATCTTCTCCTCGACCGACACGCAGTTCATCAACGTGTCGATCGTCCCGACGCCGGGCGTCGCGGGGCTCTTCGGCATGGCCGGCCTCGCCGCCACGCGCCGCCGCCGGTGAACGGCAGCGCGTCCGCAACTTCCACATGAAACCCATTCCGGGTGATCCTGGTTGAGAACACGCGCCCGGGCCTCTGGTCCGGGCGCGTTTCTTTTTGCACCGCCCACGTCCGATCACACCCCGCATCCGCCGGCCCGCCTCATGACGCCCCCCGGCACGATCGATACCCACCCATACAATCGTCCCGACGCGCCGCGGCGCCGGACACCCACCCCACGACCCGCAGGGAGCACCATGGCCATCGACGTGAGCGACCCATCCCGGAGGCAGCGCGCCGTCCGCACCGTCCGCGAGCACCTCAGCGCCCAGCGCAACCGCGAGGCGATCGAAGCGCTCGCCGAGCTCCCCCCCAAGCTCAGGCGCGACCCCGAGATCCTCTTCCTCTGGGCCCTCGCCCACGAGCGCGCCACCCAGTTCGCCCAGGCTGTCGAGAAAGCCACCGCCTCCTACCGCGCCGCCGAGCACGTCGACGCCATGCTCGTCCTCGCCCGCTGCACCCGCGCCATGGGCGACACCGAGAGGTGCCTCGCGTGGTGCGACCGCATCGCCAAGCGCCGGGGCAACGACGAGACCCTCACCTACATCCGCGCCGGCGCCCTCGAAGAGGCCGGCCGCTTCGACGAGGCCACCGAACTCCTCGAACCCCTCATCGAGAAGTACCGCGCGAGCGGCGACGAGATCCCCCTCGGGCTCCGCCTCGAGTGGTCCAAGCTCCTCGTCCAGAACAAGAACTACGACGACGCCGTGACGCTCATCGACGGCACCGTCGAGAGCTGCCCCGCGGACCCCGTCCGCAACATGCAGCTCCACCTCAAGGCCAAGGCCAACGACCGGCGCAAGGACTACGACGCCGCCTTCGAGGCCGCGACGCGCGCCAACGACATCGGCCGCGTCGAGTTCGACCCCGACATCTACGAGGAGCAGGTCTCCGCCCTCATGGAGGTCTGGTCCGCCGAGAACATGGCGAAGTTCCCCCTGAGCACCTGCGACTCCGAGCTGCCCGTCTTCGTCGCCGGCATGCCCCGCTCGGGCACGAGCCTCATCGACCAGATCATCGACGCGCACCCCAAGGCCGCGGGCGTCGGCGAGCTCAACACCATCGAGGGCTTCGCCATGAAGCTGGGCCGCGCCTACGACCCGGACCTCGAGCCCCCCGCCTGCTTCGGCGCCTACGACGAGCGCAAATGGACGAAGGTCGCCAAGGACTACGTCCGCGAGGTCAAACGCCTCGCGCCCCCCGGCACCGAGCGCGTCGTGAACAAGGCGCTGGGCAACAACAAGCTCGTCGGCCTCATCGCGCGGCTCTTCCCCAGCACGCGCATCATCCACGCCATCCGCGACCCGCGCGACGTCGCCATCAGCTGCTTCATGGGCGGGTTCAACAACCGGCTCCACCCCTGGACCACGCGCATCGAATGGGCCGCGAACGCCTGGGCCCAGTCCCAGCGCATGATGCAGCACTGGAAGGACACGCTCGACGTCCCCATCCTCGACGTCCACTACGAGAAGCTCGTGGCCGACCCGGAGAACGAGTTCCCGCGCATCATCGACTTCCTCGGCCTCGACTGGGACGAGCGGTGCTTCGAGTTCCACAAGTCACGCCGAACGGTCCGCACCCTCTCCTACGACCAGGTCAACCGCCCGCTCTACACGTCAAGCTCCGGCCGCCACGCGAACTACGCCAAGCACATCGAGGGCGTGGAGTTCGTCGAGTACGACCCGTTCGCGCAGTAAGCGGCAGCAACCGCGACCGTGAGGGAGCGGACTGCGTGTCCGAGTCACATTTCACTCTCAAGTGCGCGAACGATTGTGCACGCCAAGCTTCGCTGGTTGTCGTGCGCGTAGTCCGCTCCCTCACGGTCGCGGTTGCTACAGCAGACTCACGCCCCCGTCACACGCTCCACCTCATCCAGCGTCGTCTCCCCGCGCGCCGCCATCAGCCACCCCGACTGCTGCAGCGACGTGAACACGCCCTGCTCCACGATCTTCTTGATCTTCTGGATCGACGGCGTCGTCAGCACCGTGTCGCGCAGCTCGTCGTTCATCACCAGCATCTCGAAGATCGCCGCGCGGTTATTGAACCCCGTCCGCAAACACTTGGCGCACCCCGTCGCCGCGTAGACCTCGCTCTTGCCCTCGAGGAACCGCCCGATGCGCGTCGCCTGACCGGGCGTCACCCGGATCGGACGCTTGCAGTACTGGCACAGCTGTCGCACCAGCCGCTGCGCGAGCACCACGTCCAGCGAGTTCGCCACCAGGTACGGCTCCACGCCCAGGTCGATGAGGCGGAAGACCGAGCCGATCGTGTCCTTGGAGTGGATCGTCGAGAAGACCACGTGCCCCGTCATCGCCGCCTGCATCGCGACGCGCGCCGTCTCCTCGTCGCGGATCTCGCCGACCAGGATCACGTCCGGGTCCTGGCGCAGCACGCTCCGCAGCAGCTCGCCGAACGTCGACTTGCCCACCGGGATCTGCGTCACGCCCTCGAGCGTGTACTCCACCGGGTCCTCGATCGTCACCACGTTGCGCCGCTCGCGGTCCACCTCCCGCAGCGCGTTGTAGAGCGTCGTCGTCTTGCCCGAGCCCGTCGGCCCGCACACCAGCGTCATCCCCTGGTCCTGCTCGCACACCTTGCGGATCCGGTCGTGCATGTACCCCGGCATCCCGATGCTGTTCAGCGACTGCGGCGCGATGTACGAGTCCAGCACGCGCACCACCAGCTTCTGCCCCGCCACCGTCGGCGTGAAGCTCGCGCGGTAGTCCACGCGACGGTCGCTGAACCGCACCGAGAAGTGCCCGTCCTGCACCGCGTCTCGCGCCGCCTGCTTCATCTGGCACGCCGTCCGCACCACGCCCAGCGTCAGCTCACCCACCGCCTGCGGCAGGTCCACGATGTGGATCATGTGCCCGTCCA